AGGATTCAGTAAGTAGCACAACTACCAAGCCTACAATTATATATATATATAATATATAATTTAACACACCCTCTAGGCTTGGTAGTGGCAAGCCCATCCCACCCGCAGCACCCCCACATCCTTGCACCCCCATGCCCTGCAGCAGCAATGGCGTCGACCAGCCGGTCGACCCCTCGGCAATCGAGGTGGCGGCGTCGACGGCGGGTCGCAGCGGCGGCGGCAGGGCGTGCAGCACTTGCGGCGGCAGCGGCGGCGTCGAATGACTGATCAACTTGGATGTCTTGTTCAAAACCATGTCGATCTCACCTGATGCGTATCCAGAGCCGTAGACAGCCCCGTGAATTGAAGGTATGAGAAGAGAGTAATGTTTTGCTCCGAGATTGTAGTCCAGATGCATTACACCACGAGAAGTGTCACGATTCCTAGCTTGAAAGCATACGCAAAATTTGGATTGCATCCATACAATGACGGTAACATTAAACACCACCGAAAATGCCTTTACCGCGTTTATGGAACCCCATTCCTTCGGACGAGAGATGTATGCAGAGTAATCCATCCTTGTAGGGAATTTTTTACCGTGACCGCTTTCAGCTAGAAGCTTGTAGCTGAACTCCGTGTTGTCCCAGTTTGCGAAAACGTAATCTATTACGACTTGCTTCACATCTTCGTATTTACGTTGGGTATTATGTAACCATAAAGACAAAAATCGGTATAATCAGTTTCCATCACCGATGATCCGCACAAGTTCCAAGTTATAAACCCTCTCAAACTCACCAGCCAAAGTCCCGCCGGAGATAATCATGCCTGAACTCGACGTAGATGAAGCCATCCTTACAGGCGACCCAGCATAGAAGGAAACAACAACACAAAGAGAGGGAGAAAGGGAGGGATGTGGGGGGGGGGGGGGGGGGAGGGGGGGAGAGAGAGAGCAAGAGAGAGAGAGAGAGAGAGAGAGAGAGAGAGAGAGAGAGAGAGAGAGAGAGAGAGAGAGAGAGAGGAGAGAGAAAGAGAGATAGAGAGAGAGAGAGAGAAAGAGAGAGAGAGAGAAAGAGAGAGTGAGAGAACAATAGAGAGAGAGAGAGAGAGAGAGAGAGAGAGAGAGAGAGAGAGAGAGAGAGAGAGAGAGAGAGAGAGAGAGAGCGAGAGGGGGAGAGAGCAATCTCTCTCAGCCATACCATTATTTCACTAGAAGCCTTCAAGTGCTCTGGTTTTTGGCGGCCGGCTCGCGCCGGCGGCCGGAGGGCAAGCGGATAGTCCCAGAATTCACAATAGTAGGTTCAATTACAGGAACGAATATCCACATGTGCGGCTAGACAGTGCCAACAAAGGCTCCTAGGCAGAAGGTGCATGGTGAGGACATCACCACTATGCGTACCACCCCGACAACACCTGCGCCGACGCTCACTCCGACGCAAGGGCTCGCAGCAACGCGCCCTGCATGGAGCGGAGTACTGACGCGGAGCCAGCTACGAGCCCTAGGGAGGTCTCCGCCTCTACTGCGCGCGCAAGTGCGCGCACGGCCACAGGCGCCGCGCCAGCTTCGTCAACAGCTAGACCGGGCAGCTGGGGAAGATAGACTAGCCCCCAGAGCAGCTGCGCTACTGCCTCTTGCGCCCGAGCCCGCTGCCGACGAGACAACACCGGATCACGTGCCACCGCGGGCCGACGCTCCAACGCCTGGTGCAGAAGCTCCAGCACAAGCGCCAACCACCCAAAGCAACTGGCGAGAGCAGCCAGACGCGCCGCGGAGCCATACCGCGGCCCACCCCATGTCACCCGCAGCCGCTGGACCCCCACAGGCGCATTCCGACGCATACGAAGACCACGTGCGGGAGAGCGCGACGCAAAGGGAGGGGGAGGCTCGCCAAAACGCTGCTGGCCAGACGGGGGCACAAACGACTGGCAGGGAAGCGTTGTCCCCCCGCTCCGCACCAAGGGCCCCCCAGGATACACATCGCCAGCCGCGGCAGGAGGCCCCCAGTACTCGCCCTACCGCTGTACAGACAGGAGCAGCTCCATCTCCAACTCCATTGCGACGAGCTGCACCGAGAGGGAGAGATGGGGCGGAGGGCGCGGGGCTGTTGAACGACGGTGCCGAGCCCGACAGACGCGTAGAGAACGACCCTAGCGAACCTAGGGGTAACAACGCCACAACCCCGCGCCCGCCAGCGCAAACAACCCCAGAGGACACCACGACGATTGGTACTGCGCCTGCAACCGTAACCGGAGGACCAGAGCAGCCCCGGACACTAGGCGCGGGAAACACTAACGCGAGGCGAGAGGGGCGAACAGGCAGGCCGGTGCGACGGCGCAGAACCGGGGGAAATGTCGGGGGGCGGAGGTCCATGCGGAGAAGGCCAATCTCGCGCACAGGGGACTGGAGAGCAAGGCGCGGAAGACCCGAGCAAAATGCGGAGCGAGTAACAGAGGATGAGTCTGAGTGGGAGGAAGGGGACGCATATGTATTTGGCAACTCGGAAGAACCAGGCGCGGAGGGGATTTCCGACAGGGCATCAGAGGAAAATGCGAACAGAGGGGGGAGGAGGAGGATAGATTGCCGAGGCGTGAATGTGCCGGAAGTGATCGCCCCGCCAGCCAATAGCGACACGAGTCAGCTGCAGCAGCGGAAAATCCGATCACCATAATCCCAGGCCGGGGACGAAAGTTTATGGCAAGCAGCCATTGGTTGGGATTTGGGGCCCCTGCGGGACTCACGGCAGCCCTACCTGGCAAGATATCTGCCCCCCAAAATTCTGGAGATTTTCGCGGACTGTCTGTTGGTTCCCCTACAACGCATCAAAACATGCCCTGATTGCCCGAGGGGATGGATCGTGCTGATATTTCTGCCCCGCCTAACACTTAGGCCTGGACCTGCTTCGGAAAAGCGGTTGGGTGCGATCGAGCACCAACTTCAGGGGTTTCGTGAGGGGCAGTGGCAAGAGCTGTACACGGGCAGCAGGGACAACGCGACCATCACCCCGACTGCCCGCCACCCACAGGGCGCAGCCGGACTACGGGCTCGGGCCGAGGGGCTGGTCCAGAAAACGAACCTGAGTAAGGCACTATCGGCGTTACAACCTCTACCAATCGCACCGACAAACGCTACCACGCTCGCAAGCCTGCGCGAAAAACACCCCCAGGCAGAGGGTGAAATTCCAGCGCACCTGCGAGGGGCAACCGACAGTACACTCCAAATCGGCCATGCTGCATTTCGAAAAGTGCTGGGAAAATGCCAGCGTGGCATCGGGGGTGGGCCTTCGGGCATGTGCTTCGAGCACCTGCGTTATCCGGCACTCTCCAACCCCCAGGTTCTGAACCTTCTGCTTCATGCCGTCAACCTGGTGATTGGAGGCTGAGTGTCGTCATGCATACGCCAACTACTGCTGCCCAGCCAATTAATTGCTCTACGCAAGCCGGGCGGAGGAGTCCGGCCAATAGCCATTGGGGAAGCCTTCCTGCGTGTGGTGGCAAAGGCAGCGCTACAGGAATCGGCGACAGCAGTTCGCGCGTTCTTTTTTGCCATACCAATTCGGCGTGGCGGTCTCAGGGGGAGCGGAGTGCGTGATCCACGTAGTGCGAACACTGCTGCAAGCCTTCCCTGGGCACATCGTCCTTCAGCTGGACATCGCCAATGCATTCAACAGCGTGCATCGCCACTACCTCCTCCAGGCCCTGCAGTGGAGCCCGCTTACACCTCTCTTGCCACTCGCACTCACCCTCTACGGCACACCGGCACCCCTCCTCCTGGACGCCGCCTTCCCCAGCACCACGATCACAAGCAGCAGGGGGGTCCGCCAAGGGGACCCACTGGGTCCCCTCCTCTTCGCCGCTGCCATCCAGCCCATCCTAGCGGAAGTGGCAAACCGGTTCCCGGAGGTTGCCGTCCTGGCATACGCGGACGACATCATTGTCGTCGGCCCACCGCCAGCGGCGGCCCGGGCCTTCCAGCTCCTACAAACAGGCCTACAGGACTGCGGCCTGCAGTGCTCCCTCGCAAAATCAATGGGCTGGTCCCCTACCACAGAGAGCCACAACCAACTCCCGCAAGGGGTGACACGGGCGGAGGGCGGGCTCCGTATCCTCGGGAGCCCCGTCGGCGGGGCGGGGTTCGGCAGAGCCCACCTGCAGGAAGAACTGGCCAAGGCAGCAAGTCCCCTACCCCAGTTGGCGGAGCTCCACCCCCAGCACTCTCTCCTCCTCTCCCGATGCGTATCACGGCGGGCCTCCTTCCTCCTGCGCTCAACCCCGGCCGACGAACTGCCTCTGGAACACTGGAGGGACTGGAGTGAAAGCTTGGTATGGACAGCCCTGGCAGCAGCCAACATTCAAGCACCAAGGGGCGAGCTGGAGTGGAGCCTCACCTGGCGACAAGCGAAGCTGCCAGTCGTCCTCGGAGGCCTCGGCATCACCGACCCCACCTCTGAATCCACGGCTGCATACCTGGCCTCCACGATAGCAGCGGCACGCCTCCTGGCTGACATGCACCTACCGGACGGACTCCTCTGAGAGGCACAACACCTACTGGGAGCTGGAGGGGAAGGCGACCTGCCACTTCACTCTACAGTGCGGGACATGGAATCCCGTCTGCCTGAAGCGACTAGGCTGACCCTGGCGGAGGCCAGAAATTCACCCATGAAGGGCCCCCTCCAACACCAACTCAGCCTCGACATCAACACACAGCAAGCGGGGGAACTCTTCGCAGACACACTGCTGGACCGCCCCGGCCTGGAGAACGCCCACGGCACTCGCCTAACTAGCCTACGCGGCACGGGGGCCGGCGACTGGCTGCTGGCCATCCCCTTCCGACCAGACCTCTGCCTGTCCCCAGCCCAGTTTGGTACGGCCCTGGCTTTCCGCCTTGGCCTGCCCCACTCGGTCCCGGGCGGCTGCTCCTGTCGGCGTGCTGAGATCACGGACCCAAGCCTCCCGAACCACATCCTTCGCTGTAACGAGGGCGGTTACCCAAAAAGCCTCCACAACTCCCTCGTGTACGCGACGCTACGCATGGCACGTGAAGCAAAGTTCAGCGTGTACCATGAGACCATCCAGTTCACAACGCCAACCAACAGGAAGAGGGCGGACCTGGCAATCCGGGACTGTGAGAGTGGGGCAACTTGGGTGATGGACGTCACAGTCACCGACCCGGTGCTCCAGCGCCGGGACCTTGATGCCGGGGGCCTCCCAGGGTGGGCGGCAAGGGAAGCGGCTCGAGCAAAGGAGAGGGAATACGAGGACCGGCCGGCCTGGGTGGGCTTCTACGCCTTGGCAGTGGAGACCCATGGGGCACTAGCTCCGTCCACCGCACACTTCCTCAAGCTGCTGGCCGACCACGCAGCGTTGATGCGGTTCCGGGCCAACCCTCTGACCACGCCGGCCAAGAAGCTGCTCTCCCACTATCGGCAGCAGTGGGCAATGCTCCTGCAGCGGCTACAGGCGGACACCCTCATCACCCGCAGCGGGATGGCTCTGGATGCTGCCTATCCCCAGCCCAGGACAGACCCCTGGGCACCTCACCTAGGGGATGTCTACGACACCTTAGACCTGGAAATGTCCTAGAGGCGGGATGGGGAGCCTGGGCTGGGGTGGGCTATGCAGTAATGTGTAGTTCTATACCCTAGGGTTGCTTGGCCTTTGTGCAGTTTGTACCCAGGTTCCATCAATGAGCAGGACCGCTTGAGAGAGGGGGAGAGGGAGAGAGAGAGAGAGAGAGAGAGAGAGAGAGAGAGAGAGAGAGAGAGAGAGAGAGAGAGAGAGAGAGAGAGAGAGAGAGAGAGAGAGAGAGAGAGGGAGAGGGTGAGGGAGAGCGAGAGAGAGAGAAAGAGAGAGGGAGAGAGAGAGAGAGAGAGAGAGAGAGAGAGAGAGAGAGAGAGAGAGAGAGAGAGAGAGAAAGAGAGGGAGAGATAGAAAGAGAGATGAAGAAAAGGGAGTGATATCGAGAGAGGGAAAAAAAGGAGAGGGAGAGGGAGAACGAGATAGGTGGAGACATTGCAAATCAAGGATAGTGACGCAGCGATGACGAGCACAAATAATCACTTGGGAATATGAAATGCTTGGATGGGAGATGTCTAAAAGGAATGTGATAAGATGTGGGAAAAATAGGGCACAACTTACAACTTTTTTTGTGCAGCTAACTTGGGAAAAATACCAACAAATTGTTTAAGTGCCACAAACACGTTTCAAATAAATACAAAAGCTTAGTGCGGTTTCCATGACGAATAATATGCCAAGGTTCAGAACAAGAATAACAAGTACTCCAACTAGAATCACGTTTTGGATTGATCCACCTCTTGAACACGCTCCTTTAGTTATACCTAGAACGCTATTGATTCTATAAACGAATGAATTTGATTAGGCATAACAATTACGTACACGAGCAATTACACGAGAGAAGAACGTGACCAAAAATGAACTTCAAAACGTGGACTATCTGCAAAATCCAACAATCAAAGACATTACTGGAAGAGCAAACGACGTGCACTTAGACCGAAAACAACATTTAATAGAAGGAAAAAAAAAAAACCGCGAACGAGGAAGATAATTTCGACGTGTACACGCAAGCCTGCAGAGATACCATCGTAAGGGATAGTGAGGGAGAAGAGGAAGGAACAAAAGGAGAGAGGGAAGGAACAAAAGAAGAGATAGCGGGAGGAAGGGAGAGAGGGAGCGAGGGAGGGAGAGAGGGAGGGAGAGAGAGAAAGAGAGAGAGAGAGAGAGTGAGAGAGAGAGAGAGAGAGAGAGAGAGAGAGAGAGAGAGAGAGAGAGAGAGAGAGAGAGAGAGAGAGAGAGAGAGAGAGAGAGAGAGAGAGACAGAGATAGAGAAAGAGAGATAGAGAGAGATATGGAGAGAGAGAGAGAGAGAGAGAGAGAGAGAGAGAGAGAGAGAGAGAGAGAGAGAGAGAGAGAGAGAGAGTAAACAAAGTAACGGCACATGTGAGGGCATGGAGGTTAAACAGAGTAGTGTCACAGTAGTAACGGCACATGTGTGAAGGCATGGAGGTTGAACAAAGAAGTGTCATACTAGTCACGACACATGTGTGAAGGCATGGAGGTTACACAGAATAGTGTCACAGTAGTAATGGCGCATGTATGGAGGTTAAACAAAGTAGTGTCATAGTAGTAACGGCACATGTATGAAGGTTAAACAGGGTAGTGTTGCAGTAGTAACGGCACATGTGAAGGCATGGAGGTTAAACATAGTAGTGTCACAGTAGTTATGGCGAGGGAGCGAGGGAGGCACGGAACGGAAGGGGGAAGGGAGGCGTAGAACAGAGGGAGGGAGGCAAGCACGGCACGGAGGAGGGAGGAACAAAGAGAGGAAGAGAGGCGCGGAACGAAGCGAGGAACAGAGAGAGGAACGGAGCGAGGAACAGAGGGAGGAACGGAGCGAGGAACGGAGGGAGGAACGAAGGGAGGAAGGGAGGCGCGAGCACCAGCACCAAAACGCCAGCGCCAGCCAAAACGCCAAAACGCCAGCGCCCGCACCAGCACCAAAACGCCAGCGTCAGCGCCAGCGACTAAACGCCGGTGCCAGCGCCAGCGCCGCCGCTATACGACAGCGCCAGTACCAGCGCTAATACCAGTGCCAGCGCCAAAACACCAACGCCGGCGCCAGCACCAGCATCACAACGCCAGCGCCAGCGCCAGCCAAAACGCAAGCGCCAACGCCAGCGCCAAAGCGCCAAAACGCAAGCGCCAACGCCAGCGCCAAAGCGCCAGCGCCAACGCCAACGCCAAATCGCCAGCGCCAACGCCAGCACCAGTGCCAACGCAAAAACGCCAGCGCAAACGCCAGCGCCAAATGTTAAGCGCTAGAGTCAGTGCCAGCGCCAGCGCCAAGGCAAACACGCCTAGTGGTTCTACGCTTACCAGGTTCATGACCTGATTGAAACTTGAAATTGCTTGAAAGTCTGGAAAGCTAGAGGGAAGGAATGTGAGGGACGCTGTGAGGTTGCTAGAAAGCTAGCTGCGATGAATGAATGTCTGAACAAGAAACGCAGAAGGAGTAGGAAGCAAGAAACACATTGCAAGGAGGAAGTAGGAGCGTGTTCCTGCGGTTTCTTCCCAACCAACCTCTTCCCAGACTCACGCGCTACAGTGTCACGTAATTTTGACGCGAAACAATTTAGTGCGGTTCTGCGTGGTGTGACGCGTGTCTGAATGCTAGTTAAACTAGGAAGTAGGGAAGCCCGCCATGAAATGGCGGGTGGGGTTAGGTAGGAGAGAAAATGTCGAGAGAGAAGAGGGTCTCGACTAGAAGAGAATGAGGTACAAGAAGAGGGGTTATCCCCTCTACAGTAGGATGCAGTTAGTAGCATAACTACCAAGCCTACAATTATATAAAATATAATTTTAACACACCCCCTAGGCTTGGTAGTCACAAGCCCACCCAACACCCACACACCCCCTAATCCCGTACACCCTCATGCTCGTGAGCAGCCGGGTATCGACCCCTCGTGCTAGGCGATGACACCCCGGGACGAGAGGCAGCTGGCGGCATGTAGGCGGCCTCAATAACGATAGCGGCGGAGCTCGTGCTCAAGGCGGCTGCGTCGATGAAGGCAGGTGGCGACTGCAGCGGCTGAGGGCTCTCGGCGGTATGGCACGACCCGGCGACGATCGAGCCGAAGACAGCAGCTGCGACAGAGGAGGAAGAGGAGACGCAAGGAGAAGGGGTGGGGCGTGGAGGAGGGACGAATCTTCAAATCTTCAGCGCGGCGCGAGGACTGGCGTGGCGCTTACTGGCGGGCAGGCGGACTGCAAGTCCAGCGACTGCATCCCGACGACAGCTGCTGCAGCCCGACGCCACTGCCACGGCACCGATACGACGCCTCCACAGCGTGGCGTCGTAGCCGCGGCTGCTCGTCGGAGCGGAGACAGCAGCTCACAGTAGCCGCCGCGGCATCTCGAAAAACAAGAAAGTGCCACGGCGGTAGGCAGTCGGAAGGCCGCGACGACGGCGAACTAAAAATGAATACGCAGCGGAAGCGTAGTGAGCAGGCCCGGGACGGGCGGCCTGCTCCGAAACCATGTCTGAATGCTAGTTAAACTAGGAAGTAGGGAAGCCCGCCATGAAATGGCGGGTGGGTTTAGGTAGGAGGGAAACTGTCGAGAGAGAAGAGGGTCTCGACTAGAAGAGAATGAGGTACAAGAAGGGGGGTTATCCCTTCTACAGTAGGATGCAGTTAGAAGCATAGCTACCAAGCCTACAATTATATAAAATATAATTATAACAATGCGAGATTGGGATTGTTGAGATTCAAGGCATGTTTTCAAATCTCGTTTTAGGCGCCAAAATTTCAGACGCGCTCGAATCTGTATAGTGCGATTTTTATGAGAGCTAATTCATTGTGGTGAAGTGCATGATTCTAAAATGAATTAACTGGAAAAACGGTTCTTCGAACACGCTCCTAGGCGAGGGCCGATTTCGGGAAGAGGATAGCCTCGGAAGAGGCTTGTAGGAACACACTCTAAGACATGCAGGGGGAGGATGAAGCAAGAAACGTGAAGTACAGTAGTCAAGTTTCTCAGGTAGTTGTCGGTTTCAACTTGTGCAGGTACACGCGTGAGACACCACATGCAAAACTTGAGGTACCTCAATGCCCATAATGATTACGCTTCAGAATGCTTCGTCAATGATTCTATTGAAAAAAAAAAACCAGCAGGTTTCTTGCGTAGTTTCAGCTTCGGCACGTGCTTAGCTGTGATATCCAACGTGTTACAAGCTCATGTTATATTGATTAGGCTGCAGAACTATGACAACATCATTATATCAACATAAACCTGATATCATTATATGTGTATATTTGAATTAGTAACACTATTATACCAATATATTCATAATGTCAAAACCCGTATATCAAGACCATTTGACCAATAAAATCAATTATGTGACCTAGAAAAAGGTGCAAAGCCTGTGTTGTGCTCAACGAGGTTATTGAAATACGATATAAATTACATATGTACATTTTCCCCTATCCACACCATAAAGGGTCAACTATCTTCAATATTTATAACATCATAAATAATATTATTTAGAAGATATTGGTTAGGAGATGTGTTGATTTCCAACCAAACAATAGCATTCCTAACTAACAACACAATTATCAACTTCAAAATGGAATATAAACTGTGTTATTGTTCCGATTCCACACATTGGAAATCTACAATGTACGCAACAGCGATTGGTTCAGGCCTGGAAATGCTTCGCAGATCTTCGCAAACAAATGGCAAGCTGTAACCATATCTTCCCCAGGCTGGTGAAGCTTCCCTCCTCACATGGGTCGAGCATGCGAAACAGGAAGTTGACGGTGTGACGAAAACACCGTTCGCCGACCGCTGAGCAGCAAGGTAAGTAACAGGCATTACACCTGCCGTACGAACGAACCACTGTGCTGTGCCGTGCAGTGCACCATCGCCCAACCACCCACCCTCGGTCGGGACTGTTGTTCCGCTGCTGCTGGTGCTGCCCCGCATATCGTACTGTACTGACCAATCTCCTGCCAGCAGGTAGCCCTTGCCCTACCATACCACCAAGCAGTGAAAGTTGTTGGGTGGGTGGGAGGTGCAGCCACTGAGAACCCAAACCTACACTGGGAAAGGACAAGTGCTGTTCAAAAGAGTGAGCTTTTCAAATTAGAACTTTTTGTACACTAGGAAGGAGGTACTATTTTAGGCTTCACCCGTCTTAGGTTTCTCCGCGCCAAACGATGGCTCTTGAGTAGCTTCATTCACACATGCGAATAGAAGAGGCGTCTGCGCCAAACGCGCGCAATCCTCGTCGAGCTTCGACGGTTGCGATGAGAATAAGTGGGCAGCTCCTCTCGATCCCTGCCCGTGCACCACTAATATTCTACGTAGGTTCTTAGGCTACGAAGGTCTACTTCGTTTCCCTTGATGTTTCCACTTTTGCCCTCTCCCACTCTCGCCGATGTTCCCTCGTACATTCCCCTCTCGTCCCTCACACTCGCACTGCACGCTCATATGATAGCCGACCGTCTTGATCTTCAAAGTCGTCTGCACCTCCCGCGCAAGACACAGTTATCCGTTTAATCTGTCCCCCCAGTTCAGCACCCGCCGCACCCGCCGCTCAATCGTCTCTTTCATTCTTCTTTTCGTTTCTTCTTTTCGTTCGTTTCAAAGAAAACTCATAGCTCAGCTCGACTAAGTTCTAGGTCTTCGACGTCGGTCGTCAGTAATTCGGGTAGAGATACTCCCCTTGTTCCCACCACAATGCCCTCCTGCACAGCATTGAGAACGGCGACACTCTGTAACCCCTTCGCGACAGCTCCTTGTTACATCCTTTCGCAGACCATGCTGTCCGATTATTCACCTCTATTCTTACCGCTTTCTTTGCTACGCTCTTGCTTTCCCTGAACCCTCGTTCTTCTCCTTCCGCCCTCGCAACCCCTTCCGCAATCGCCCTTCCCTTATCCCCCCCCAGTCCCGTAGCCAAATGCGCGCGTTCCGCCGTTAGCCTGCACGCACGCGCATCCCGCCGTCCGTCCGTCGCCCCCGCACCCGAGGCGGGCGCACCCCAGCGTGCATGAATGGATGGGAGCGGGCGCGGAGATCGCAACGACGACGATGACGAGTGGGACGAGAACGAGAACGAGAACGAGGCGAACAACGGGCTCCCTCCAGCACCAGCAGAGCTTCGTAACAGGGGACCCGGGGATGACAGTAACGCGTACGAGGATGAGCATGATGAGTACGGGGAGGAGGAGGGGGAGGGGGGGGAGTATGGTGAGGAAGGGGAACGGGGAGGGGGGGCGCGGTATGGGGAAGAGGGGGGGTATGGAGAAGAGGGAGAGTACGGGGAGGAAGGTGAAGGGTATGAGGATTATGACCCGGATGATCCGAATTACGACCAGCAGCAGCAGCAGCATGGCGCCCCTCCTAAAGGGCCGGGGCCTGGGGCAAGGCTGGGCCCGCCTGGCGGTCTGAAGGAGGAAAACGAGTATGATTATGACGAGTACGGTGAGGAGGGAGAGTTCGGGGAAGAGGGTGAGGAGGGCAGGGGGAGGGATTACGGGGGGGAGGGTGGAGAAGGAGAGTATGGGGTGGAGGGAGAGGAGGGGGAGTATGGGGCTGAGGGAGAGGGTGGGGCTGAGGGAGAGGGTGGGGTTTATGGTGAAGATGGGGAGTATGTGGAAGGGGGGGAATATAGAGGGGAAGGTGAGGGTGAATATAATGAAGGGGAATATAATGAGGGAGGAGATGTTGAAGGGGAGTACAATGAAGGCGAATACGTTGAAGGGGAGTATGCGGAAGGAGAGTATGATGGACAGGAGGAAGAGCACGGGGAGGAGGAGGCTTATAACGAGGACGGGGAGTATGTAGGAGAGGGGGAAGGGGGTGCTGGTGTTGGGGGAAACGAGGATGGGGAGGAAGGCGACGGTGAAGGGGATTTTGAGGGAGAGGGGGAGTATGGAGGAGAGCATGAGGGGGAGCATAAGGGGGAGTATGAGGGGGAGTATGAGGGGGAGTATGAGGGGGAGCATGAGGGGGAGTATGAGGGGGAGCATGAGGGGGAGTATGAGGGGGAGCATGAGGGGGAGCATGAGGGGGAGCATGAGGGGGAGCATGAGGGGGAGCATGAGGGGGAGTACGGGGAAGAGCATGAGGGGGAGTACGGGGGAGAGCATGAGGGGGAGTACGGGGGAGAGCATGAGGGGGAGCATGAGGGGGAGCATGAGGGGGAGTACGGGGGAGAGCATGAGGGGGAGTACGGGGGAGAGTATGAAGGGCAAGCGGATGGTAATGAGGGGGAAGGAGGTGAGTACGATGAGAATGGGCGATATGAGAGAGACGGAGCAGAGCACATGGAAGGGGAAGAGTACATTGAAGGGGGGGAGTACGGGGAGGAGTACGGGGAGGAGTACGGGGAGGGGGAAGAGGGCTATAGAGAAGAACCCGAGGGTGATTATATCGAAGGAGATGAAAATGCAGAGGAGGGAGTGCAAGAGTCTCGAGGGGATGAGAATGACGAGGCTGATGATAACGAGTATGAAAACGAGTACCAAGGAAAAGGGAGCGAGCGGGTCTCTGAGGAGGGGCGAGAGGAAGGGTATGGTGAGGAGGGGCATGGGGTAGAGGAAGGAGATGTGTACAGTGAGAGAGAGAGGTACCGAGGGGAGGAGGGGGAGGAGTTTGAGGAGGAGGGTGGTGACTATAACGAAGGGGATGATGCGCCGCAGCAATTTGAAAACGAGGGTGATTATAGGGATGGGGAGGAGCGGCATCGGCGTGACGAGCAGGATGGAGAGGGGGAAGGGGAAGGCGAGTACAATGATGAGGGCGATATGTATGGTGATGATGCCGATGCTGATGCCGATGCTGATGCCGATGCTGATGCTGATGCTGATGCTGATGCTGATGCTGATGCTGATGCTGATGGTGATGCCGATGCTGATGCTGATGCTGATGCTGATGATGGGGGGGAGGAGCATGAGCCAAGGGGGCGAAGAAGCCATGATGGGGTGTTCAGCGATGAGATCGATGAGGACGAAGGGGAGTATAACGAGGAGGAGTATAACGAGGGGGAGTATAACGAGGAGGAGTATAACGAGGAGGAGTATAACGAAGGGAGAAGGCGTGGCAACGACACTGTTGGTGATGATGATGGTGATGACGATGGTGATGGTGAAAGGGTTAGAGACACGGGGTCCGGCGGGGATAAAGTGGAAGAGGAGGAGCTTGCAGGAGCGGAGGAGGATGTGGGCTCAAGAGAGGAGCGGGGGGGAGACGAGGAGTATGATGATGACGAGGGGAAGAGGTATGGTGGAGAAGAGGAGGATGAGAGTGAGGGGGAGAGGGAGTGGGGCGAGAGAGGGGAGTTAGATGGAGAGAGGTTTAGGGAGGATGGAGGAGAGGGGGAAGAGGTGCAGGAGGAGGAGGAAGAGGGAGCGGAGGGGGGTTTCTGCACGAGAGAGGGCGAGGGGGGAGTGTGGAGGAGGAAGGAGAGGATTTGGAGGAGGAAGGGGATGATTTGGAGGAGGGAGGAGATGATCTGTATGGGTCGGAGGCTTCAGACGAGGAGCAATGGAGGGAACAGCAGGCGCGACAGGAGCACTGGGAAGGGCAAGAGGGTACTGATGATGATGATGCTCATGCTGACGATGCTGATGATGGTGACGGTGAGCAGCGGCAGCAGCAGCAGCAGCAGGAGGAGGGGGAGGAGCAGCAGGACGAGGAGGAAGGGCAGAGTGTCGGCGAGGAAGAGGTGGAATTCAGAAGGGATGGGAGGGAGGAGGAGGAGGTGGAGTTGGAGGGAGAAGAGACGGAGGCGGGACGAGATTGGGATGGCATGGGAAGGGAGCGTGAAAGGGAGAACAGGGATTTGTTTTCGGACGAGGATAGGGACGAGAATAGGGACGAGGATAGGGACGAGGATAGGGACGAGGATAGGGACGAGGTTAGGGACGAGGATAGGGACGAGGATAGGGACGAGGATAGGGACGAGGATAGGGACGAGGATAGGGATTACATTGAGGGTGAAGGCAGCGTTGATGGTGGGGATGGAGGTCGCAGTGCTGCTCAGCCTGCTGCTCGTGACAGTGGCAATGAGTATGGCGAGGGGGGGAGCACCAGAGGGAGTGAGTATGGCGAGGATGATCTATATGTTGGCGATGGTGGCAGTGATTATGAGAGGGGGGAGGACGACGCTGCTGCTTCGGCTGCTGCTGCTGCTGCTGCTGCTGCTGCTGCTGCTGATGATGATGCTGATGATGATGATGCTGATGCTGACGCTGACGCTGACGCTGATGGCGGTAGAGTCGGTGGTGATGGTGTTGATGGAGATGGGGAGGAGGGCGATGGGTATGGGCAAAACGAAGAGTATGAGGATGGGGAGGACGCAGAAGAGGGGGGCGTGGAAGAGCGGGCACTGGATGATGGAGTCGATACTGAGCATGGATATGACGCTGACCTGAGGGAGGGCCGCTCTAGGCGAAGGGCGCAGCAGGAGCAGGAAGGAGAGGGGGAAGAGGGGGAAGAGGAAGGAGAGGAGGGCTATGAGGATGTGGATAGAGGGAGGGAAGGTGGTGGGGAGTTCGAGGGAGAGGGGGGGGAGGAGGAGGAGGAGGAGCTCTATGGTGATGAGTATGATGAGTATGGGGATGGAGAGGAGAGAGAGGAGGGAGAGGAGGGAGAAGAGGGGGCTGCGAGTAGTGAAGGGGGAAGAGGGGAAGGTGGGGGAAGAGCAGCGGGCGGAGGGATGATGGAGCCGGGGGAGGGGAATGGGGAGGAGGGGGAGGAGGAGGGGGAGAGGGAGGATGGGGAAGAGATGGAGGAGCATGAGGAGGGGGACATGTATGGTGAAGAGGATAAGGATGAGTATGAGGATGAAAATGGCGATGGCGGGCATGAGGAGGACATGTATGGGGATGAGCAGGAGGAGCTGGGTGAGCAGGAGGACGATGGGTATGGCCAGCAGGAGCATGCTCAGGGTGGGGAGGTCGATGCTGATGATGGCGAGGAGGGGATCAGGCACTCAGCGGTTAGTGAAGTGCCTGAGGAGGAGGAGGAGGGGGAGGAGGAGGAAGAGGAGGAGGGAGAGAGGCGGGAAGAGGGAGGATTTGGAGGAGCGGAAAGAGGAGAGGAAGGCGATGGGAGAGGGGTTGGTGAGGGTTCGGATGGGTGGAGGGATGATGGGAGTGAGAGAGAGCAGCGGGAGGAAAGACGGTTGGATGGTGAGGGGGAGGTGTGGGAAGGGGAGGAGAGGGAGGTGTGGAGTGAGGAGGAGGAGGGGGAGAAGTGGAATGGCAGGAGAGGAGAAGGAGATGAGGGGAGCGACGGCGACATGTACGAGAGGGAAGAAGGAGATGGATGGAGTGATGAGGAAAGGGAGAGGTGGCGGGAAGAGGGGGAGGGGGAGGGGGCGGGGGAGGATGTAGGGAGAGGCAGGCATGCAATGGGGGAAGAGAGGGGAGAGGAGGACGAGGGAGGGGAGGAGGGGTGGAGTGAGGGAGGAAGATCGGATGACGGAGGAGAGGAAGAGGGAAGAGACTACGAGGGTACGGAGAGAAGAGGGGGCGAGGGGGTTGGTGCGGAGGTGGGAGGGAAGAGCGGGCAAGGCATGGTGAAGCGAGTCAATGGAGAGAGTTTGCCGGAAAGGGGGGGAATGAATGGGAGGGGAGGGTTTGACGATTATTCGGATGAGGAAGGGGAAGGGAGTGAGTATGCGGATGAAGAGCGAGAGGGGGGGGAGGCGGAAGAGGGCGAAGAGGGGGAGGGGGTTTGGATGGGTTCGGAGGGGCGGAGGATGACGGCACGGTGCGGGTATATGAGGTGGGGGCTGGCTGGAAGGAAGGGGGGAGTGACGAGGGAGTGTTGGAATCTGGCGGTGCAGGCAGTGTGCAAGGGGTGGGGGTGGGGGAGGGCGGGGAGGATGGGGAGGGCGTTGAGGGGCGAGAGGAGGCAGAGGCGAGGGAGGAGGGAGGTTTTGTAGTGGATGACGATGGGGAGGCTGCTGAGGGAGAGAGTGAAGGCGAAGGGGAAGAGGAGGGAGGAGGACATGGTAGGAAGAGGAAGGAAGGAGAGGAGGAAGGGGAGGAAGGCGAGGATGGTGCAGGAGGGAGTGTGGTGGAGGAGGAAGGGTATGAGGAGGGAGGGGATGGCGAGGCGGGCGTGAGGGGGAGGAGGAGGGGGTCGGGGAGTTTCAGCGGCAGTGGGAGCTGGGACGAGCGGAGAGGCGAGGAGAGAGAGCGGGACATGTATGGATCAGGATCGGAGGACTTGGAGTACGAGAGAGGGGATGAGTACGAGAGAGGGGGCGAGTACGAGAGAGGGGGCGAGTACGAGAGAGAGCACCAATATGGCCGGGAGCGTGAGTACAATTACAGCGATGAGGAGGGTGAGGAGGAGGAGGGCGAGTATGAGGGTGGTAATGGGTATGCGGAGCACGGAGGGCGCCGCGGAGGCGCATTGGAGCAAGGCATCAATGGCGGCGATGGGGGCTATGGGCATGAGGACGACGCCAGTGATGGAGATGGCAGCAGCAGCGGTCGTGGTGGTGGCAGCGGTCGTGGTGGCAATGGTGTGCTTCTGGACGGGCGTGGCAGTGAAGAGACGTCCCCTGCATCGCAGGGAGGGGGAGGAGGGGGAGGAGGGGGGGCTAAAGGCGGAAGTGACGGTTTTGCGCTGTTGGACCTCCCAGCCGGACTGCAGCTAGGCATGGCTCAAGGCCAGCCCGTGGACTACTCGGTTGGGGACCTGGAGAAGGCCTTCCGAGCCATGCAATCTGGTGGGGCTGCTGCTAATAATGCTGCCCTGGGCCCTGCTTTTGACCCAGGTGCAAAAGCAGCAGCAACAGCAGGAGCAGCTGTGGCATCAGGAGCAGGAGTGGGAAAGACAAGGGAGGAAGGGGCAGGGGCAGTGGAGGGAGGGGAGGGGGGGGAGAAGGCGGGGCGAGCAGGGTTTGCGCTGTTTGATCTGCCTGCTGACATGGCAGATGTCCCCCTGGGCCAACACGTGGACGAATCAGTGGGCGACCTGTGGAAGGCGTTCCAATCCATGCAAGGGAAGGGTGGGATGGGCGGGATGGCAGCTGTGGGCGGAGGGGAAGGTGGCCTGGCCGGTGGGAGTAGCAATGGTGTGGCAGAGAAAGGAGGGGATATGAGAGGCCGAGGTGACCTAAAGATTCGCGAAGAGGAGGAGGAAGAGGAGGAGGAGAACAGCGAGGGGGAAGAGAAGGAGGAGGAGGAGGATGAGGAGGAGGAGGATGATGAGGTGGGGATCTCATTCCTGGGCAAACTGGATCAGCTGCAGCAGCTCCAGGAGCATGGGAATGGGATGGGCATGCCGGCAACAGGCATGGGGAGCCTGCTGCAAGAAGGCATGGGTATGGGGCTGGGAGTAGGCATGGGTATGGGCATGGGCATGGGTATGGGTATGGGCATGCTGGGTAGCCCGCTAGGCAGCCCTCTCTCTGCCATGGGAAGCCCTTTTGGCATGTCTGATCCGTCCTTCCCCTCCCCTGCCTCCCACTCCCCCAACACACTGCCCTCGTCGCCGGGTGGTAACCACACGAGTCCCAAGCCGCCTGGTGGGAAGGGGGCCGGTGAAGGGGAGCGAGGGGGGGAGGATGTGGGGGGGGAGGATTTGGGGGTGGAGGACCGGAGGCTCCCAGAAAACGTGCTGCAGCTGATGCGGGAGAAGAAGCCCAAGGTGCCCGAGGAGGAGGGCGATGACGATGATGAGGAGGAGGAGGGGGAGGAGGATGATAGTATGATGGGGGAAGACGTCGGTGGAAGACACGAGGGGGACGAGTACGGGGACGAGGAGGAGGAAGAGGACGAGGAGGGGAGGGGCGAGGGAGGAGGGGGATTTGGCCTGCTGGATCGGCTGCTGAGCTTCCAGGACGCGTTGCCGGGTAGCAGCATGCTGGGTGGGGGGGAAGACCAAGGGGCAGCGGTGGAGGGCCCCCCTGGTGGTGGCCTGGCTGGTGCGTTTGGTGAGCTGCTAGCTGCCAGCAAATCCCTTCTAGGGCCTGACAGCAGTGCTCTGCTGCAGGTAACATCGCAGGCGTCCCCTGGGTCTCCCAGCAGCGGCCCGTTGGCAGGGCTGCTGAGCATGCAGAATGGCGCGGGTGGGGAGGGCGATGGGGGTCTGGCAGGGCATTTCCCCATGGGTGGCGGGCTGGCAGGGGCGTTTGCGCGGCTGCAGGAGGAGCAGAGGGGAGGAGGGGGGGGGGAGGAGGGGGAGGGGGAGAAGGGGGGGAAGGCGGTGGGAAGCACGACGCCACGTGTGACCCGAGTGAGGTTTGCAGAAAAGGCGGAGGAGCTGGGGGCAGGGGATGTGGAGGAGGAGGACGAGGAGGAGGGGGAGGAGGAGGGGAGGGATGAGGAGAGGGATGAAGAGAGGGAGAGGCGGCCCGGTTATGGGGAGGAGGAGGAAGACGAGGAGGGGAGTGTTGTTGATCGGCAGGGTGAAGAGGAGGAGGAAGAGGAAGGGTACTATGAGGGAGGGGGGCGCTTGAGGGGTGAGTATGCCGAGGAGGAAGGAGATGAGTATGGCGAGGAGCGGGAGTACTTGGACCATGCGCACGAGGGGATGGGTGGGAGTGAGAGGGAGAGATTGAGCGGTGAGAATGAAAGGGGAGATGAGGGGTATGAGGAGGAAGAGGGTGGGTTTGAGGAGGAGGGGTATGTGGAGGGGGAGTATGCAGGGGAGGAGGAGCAGAGAGGGGGGGAGAGGTATGAGGAAGAGGAGGGTGCGGGAGAGGGGAGGGAGATGAGGGAAGGGAGTGCGACAGGGAGTGATGACATGTATGGGCAGGAGGGGAATGAGGCGGGGTTGAGGCAAGGGGAGGGTGAGATGTATGGGGATGGGGAAGGGGGAGAGACGTATGGGGAAGGGGAAGGGGGAGAGATATATGGGGAAGGGGGAGAGATGTATGGGGAAGGGGGAGAGATGTATGGGGAAGGGGGAGAGATGTATGGAGAGGAGGGTGGGGAGGGGGGGTATGGGGAGGAGGGCATGCATGGGGAGGAGGGATACGATGAGGGTGAGTATGGGGGGATGGAGGGGGCGGAGCAGGGGGGATATCAGGAGCAGGAAAGGTTTGAGGAACAGGTGGGATATCAAGAGCAGGAGGGTGACTATGAGGAACAGGTTGAGGGGTTTGGGGGAGAGGCAGGGCAGTATGGAGGGGAAGGGGAATATGAGGAGGAGCAAGGGAGGGGGGACGGTCAAGAGTATGAAGGAGAGGGAGGGGAGTATGGGGGCAATGAGGGGTACCGAGAAGATGAGCAATACCCTGGGGAGGAGCAGTACCCGCCTGATGAACAGTACCCAGTGGATGAACAGTACCCGGGGGATGAGCAGCAGAGAGGAGGGTATGAGGAGGATGGGTATGGGGAGGCCATTGGGAGTGGCATGATGCAGGAGGGGCATGAGGGCCAGTATGAGCAGGAGGGGGACTATAATGAGGGGGATCAGTTACAGGGGGAGGAAGAGTTTCAAGGGGATGAACAGTACCAAGGAGGTGAACAGTACCAAGGAGGTGAACAGTACCAAGGGGGTGAACAGTACCATGCAGGGGATGAACAGTACCGGGAAGGGGATGGGCAGTACCCAGAGGAGGGGCAGTATCCAGCAGATGAACATTACCAAGGGGATGAGCAGTATCAAGGGGATGAACAGTACCAGGAGGGGGATGGGCAGTATGATGGAGTGAGGGAGGAATATAACGGGGGAGATGGGTATGGAGAGGAGCAGTATGGAAGGGATAAGGGGTACCAAGGTGTGGAGGGGAGTGGCACGGGGTACGGTGGGGAGGAGGGTCATGGCATGGCGGAATACCCAGAGGAGGAGCAGTATGCAGAGGGGGGCGGGGAGGGTGGTGCAGGAGACGGGTATGATGGAGGGGAGGTGTATGGAGAGGGTGGGGAGTATGGGGAGGAGGGTGGGGAGCATGGGGAGGAGGGGAGGGGGTACGGGCAGGAGGCAGCGTATAATGATCAGGAACAGCAGTATGAGGAGGAGGGGGGGTATGCAGGAGAGGGAGGGTATGAGGGAGAGGGGGGGTATGAGGGAGAGGGGGGGTATGAGGGAGAGGGGGGTATGAGGGAGAGGGGGGGTATGAGGGAGAGGGGGGATATGAGCAGCAGGAAGGGGCGGAGTATTACGAGGGAGAGTACCAAGAGGGGGGAGGAGGGGTAGGTGAGGGTGAAGGAGGGATGAATGGCGGTCTAGATGGTGCTGCTGCTGATGGCAGTGGTGGGATGGGGGGGGGAATAGGCAGCCCCATAGCGCACATGGGTGCTGGCATGGGGGGAGGAGGGGAGTTTGGAATGGAGGGGGATGGGGGGGGGTATGATGAGGTGGAGGCACAGCAGGGGTATGTGGAGGGGGATGGGCAGGGGGATGGGCAGTATATGGGGCATGCAGGGGAGCAGTATAACGAGGAGGGGCAGTATAACGAGGAGGGGCAGTATAACGAGGAGGGGCAGTATAATGAGGAGGGGCAGTATAATGAGGAGGGGCAGTATAACGAGGAGGGGCAGTATAACGAGGAGGGGCAGTATAACGAGGAGGGGCAGTATAACGAGGAGGGGCAGTATAACGAGGAGGGGCAGTATAATGAGGAGGGGCAGTATAACGAGGAGGGGCAGGACAAGGAGCAGTACGAAGGCCAATACGGGGAGGCGGGAGAGGGCGGGTACAACAACGATGAGGGTGGTGGGGGCCATGGGGGTCATGGTGGCCCTGGGGAGTACAGTGATGGGCAGGGCGGGTACTATGATGGGGAGGAGGGGTACGGCAATGGAGGCGAGGCATACCATGATGGCGCGGGTCCGTATGACGCGACGGGAGGGGGGGATGCTGATGCTGATGGGCAGTATATGGGTGATGGTGATGGGCAATACATGGGTGCTGATGCTGATGGGCAGTACGTGGGTAATGATGGTGCGTACGGCATGCAGGGGGGACAAGACGAGGAGTACATGGGCGAAAGGGATCAGGCAGGCATGCAAGGGGCATACGCAGGAGCAGCAGGGGAGGGAGGAGGAGGAGGAGTGGGCTACTCATCCGATGGGCGCTACTACGAGGAGCATGTGCGGCTGAACGGGTCAGGGGATGGAGGGGGGGAGGGAGGAGGAGGAGCAGGGGGAGGAAGCGGCGGTGGCGGCAGTGGATACTATGGAGGGGCACCTGGGAGCCCGTATCCCATGAACGTTCCTGTGAGTCCGTATCCTGACGACCGGCCCATGAGCCCGTACACAGATGGGCATGCGTATGGTGACGGGCACCAGTATGAGGATGGGGGGCATGCGTACGAAGAGGGGCATGGCTACGATGGAGGGCAAATCAGCCCGTATCCCGATGGGAATCCCATGAGCCCCTACCCTGATGGCCAGTACCTTGATAGCCCTTACCCTGGACAGCAGCAGCAGCCGCAGCCGCAGGAGTATGGTGAGGCGCCCATGAGCCCGTACCCTGATGGTGAGGGGCAGTACGACAACGAGGGGCAGCTGAGCCCGTACCCCCAACAGCGGGGGTACGACAACAACCAGGCGTACAACGACGGGAGCCAAGCCTATCCTGACGGCAACCACCACCAAGCGTACGAAGAGGGGCGGGCGTATGGCGGCGAGGCGGCGGGGTATGATGATAACAGACAAGCATATGACGAGGGGGAGCTGAGCCCGTACCCACTCCAGGCCCCTCTGAGCCCATACCCCGACGACCACCAGCGGCCCTTGAGCCCGCTCCACGGGGGGGACAGGCCCGGCAGTCCCTACGCGATGCAGCCCCCCCCTGGCAGCCCGTACCACGAGGAGATGCCTGGCAGCCCGTACCATGAAGAGGGTGCGACAGGTCACGGGCCTGGGAACTACTATGATGAGCGGCTGGGAAGCCCGTATCACCACCATGGGGGGAGCGGGCCTGCTCCCGGAAGCCCGTACCACGAGGAACGGGTGGGGAGTCCGTATCACCAGCAGCAGCAGCAGCACGAGCAGCAGCAGCAGCAGCGGGTGGGGAGCCCATACCATATGGAGCCCCCTGGGAGCCCGTATCACGAGGAGGGGGTGGGAGGTGGGTATGGAGAGCAGGGGGTGGAGGGCCAGTACCATGGGCAGCAGGAGATGGGGGCGGGGGAGGGCGGGCAGTGGGAGGGGCAGTATGGGGAGGAGATGGACGGAGGTGGTGGTGGTGGTGGTGGTGATGGTGGTGATGGGTATGGTGGGTACGGGTTCCAAGAGCCGTTGACGCCTACCAGCCCACATGAGTATGCCATGGCGCTGCACCGAGAGCAGCAGCAGCAGCTGCAGGAGCTGCAGCAGCACCAGCAGCAGCAGCAGCAGATGCAGCAGCAGCAGCAGGGACTGGGACTGGGACTAGGACTGGGTCAGGGAGCTAGGATGGTTCGACCAGACTCCTCCCGTTCGTCCGACCGGCCCCCTAGCCGAGTCTCCTACCAGGACGATAACGACAGCCGGCCTCCTAGCAGGGTATCGTACGCCGAGACAGATAGCCGCCCTTCCAGCCGCATGTCTCGAGGAGGGCCCGCAGGCGGGCCTGGTGGGGCAGCAGGAGCGGCAGTGGGAGCAGGGGGGGGGAGAGGAGGAGGGGGCGGGGACATGGGGGGAGTGGGCGAGGAAGGGTACGCTGCGTTTGGATTCTATGGGCAGCCGTCACCTCGGTTTGGAGGGGGAGGGGGAGATATGGAGCGACCAGTGAGCAGGCAGATGAGCCGTGGCTTTTCAGGTGCTTCCCAGGGGGGGTCGGACCTGGAGCGGCCTATCAGCCGGCATGGGGTCGGCACTGGGTCGGCAGGATATGACGAGTTCGGCCGGCCGCTCAGCGCACGAGGGGTGGAGGGGGCAGAGAGGCCGCTGAGCCGGCACGGGCAGAGAGGAGGCATGGGGGGGGAGTATGGGGGTGATGGGGGCGGGATGATGGGCGAAGGGGGAATAGGGATGGATGGAGGGGGGTATGGGGGCATGGATGGAGGAATGGGAGGTGGGTGGGCGGATGGGGGTGTGGGATCTCCCATGGGAGCAGCAGGGGGGGGGTATGGGGGAGAAGGTGCACTGGGTTCCCCTGTTGGGTTTGGAGGGGGGGGGTTAGGGTCGCCGATAGGCGGAGGAGGGATGGGGAGTCCCCTAGGGTCGCCGATAGGCGGGGGTCCCTTGGGATCTCCAATAATGATGGGCGGGGGTATGAGTGGGGCGGGGAGGATGGGAGAGGAGGACGATAGCTATGCAGAGAGTGCTTATATCGAGATGAAGATGCCGACTCTTCGAGCGGAAGGGCTGCCTATGGCTCCTCCTGGGGACCCCAGCGGCATGGGCGGCGGAGGAGGAGATGACATGCCAGCCATTTCCTTCGATAGAGTCACGTCCATCCGGGGGCCTGCGGGCGGCATGGGCGGCGGAGGCGGAGAAGGCGGATTTGGGGGAGGGTTTGCCTTTGCTCCTGCGTCCCATGGTGAGGAGTACAGGGAGGAGGAGGGATACGGGCAGGGGGGCGAGTACGGCATGGGGGGGTACGAGGATGTGGGATTCACGAGTATCGGCGTGGGGGCAGAGCTGGGGCCTGTGCCTGAGGTGGACGAGGATGCATTTCTGGACGAGGACGATGACGAGCAAACCCCAGGGCTGTTCTCCGCTGGGGAGTTCGATGGCCGGCAGGTGGAGGAGGGGGAGGTGGAGGAGGATGGAGAGGAGGGAGACGAGGGAGAGGAGGAGGGAGAGGAGGAGGGAGGGGAGGATGGGGCGGAGGAGGGAGGGTATGAGCAGGGGGGGTATGGCGAGGGGGGAGTTGGAGGGGAAGCGGCAGGTGGTGGCGATTACGGAGGGCAGGAGCAGGAGGAGTATTATGGGGAGGGTATGGATAGGGAAGGCATGGATTATGGAGGCATGGGGATGGATGGGCAGGGAGGTCATGGGGATGCGGAGTATGGTCAGGAGGGGCATGAGAGAGGGGGGTATGGTGAGGGAGGATTCAGTGTGGATAACCAGTGGTTGTCTCCTCGCCCCATGCCGTCTGGTGTCTCAGAGCACGCCGCTGCTGCTGCTGCCTCTGCAGCGGGGCAGTCCTCCTTGCCTAATGCTGCATGGCAGCAGCAGCAGCAGGGGCAGCAGGTGATGCTACTGAAGCCATCTCCTCCGCCCACTCAGCAACCGCAGCAGCCGGCTCGAAGGAAGACACCACCCAAGAGACAGCAGCAGCAACAGAAACAGCTGCAGCAGGCACAGCAGCAGCAGCAGCAGCAGCAGCAGCAGCGCCAGAAGCAACAAGAGCAGCAGCATCAGCCGGAGAAGGAGGATCAACAGGAGCAGCCAGCACAAGGAGCACAGGGCCGGCAAAAGCCTTCAGCAAAGCAGCCAGGTGCAATGAAGGCTGCTGCTGCTGCTGCAAGTGGCTCTGCTGTTGGTAAGGGTGGCGCAGGGAAGACAGGGATCCAGGCGAAGACAGGGCAGGCCGGGAAGAAGAAGAAACTGAAAGGCAAGACGGGGACCAGTGCAGCTGCAAGAAAAGCTGCAGGAGGAGCAGGAGGAGCAGGAGCAGGAGCAGGAGCATCAGGAGGAGCATCAGGGGCAGTGGATGGGCCAGGAAGCGAAGGAGGAGGAGGGGAGAGCATGGGCATGGGGATGAATGACACGGACTACTCGTCGTTGCCTGCTGACGGCGGCTCCACGCCGCGTCTGAACCCATACAATCCGTGGGAAGAGGAGGAGACTCTGCTGCTGGAAGGGGCTGGTGCACAGCACAAGCCAAAGCAGCAGAAGCAGCAGCAGCAGCAGCAGCAGCAGCAGCAGCAGCAGCAGCAGCAGCAGGACCAGGAGAGAGGAGCAGGAAAGAAGGGCGCTGGTGGTCAGGGGGAGAAGGGCAAGGCGGCGGGAAAATCAGCCTCTCCTGTGAAAGCCGCGGCTAAGAAGGCTGCAGCTGCTGGTGCTGCTACGAAGGACAAATCCGGCAAGAAATCACTGTCGGGAACAAAGAAGGGGGCTGCTAAGGTGAAAGAGGCAGGTGTAGCAAAAGGCCTGCCTGTCTCGGCTGCTGCTGCTTCTGCTGATACTCCTTCCTCTGCTGGTGTAACAGCCACTACACTGCAGAAGAAAGCAAAGAAGCCAGCGCAGAAAGCAGCAGCAGCAGCAGCAGCAGCAGCAGCAGCAGCAGCAGCAGCAGCAGGAGCAGGAGCAGCAGGAGCAGCTGCAGCAGGGAAGGGCACGAAAAAGAAGGCAGCAGCAGCAGGAAGAGGAGGAGGAGCAGGAGGGGTTCAGTTGAGAGCTATGGCAGATGAAGACATGGCATCAAACTTAGCTGCAATGGTCACGGCTGCTGCTACAGCCGCCGCTGTGGCCGCCACCATGCCGCTCAGTGACGGCTCGTCTGCCTCTTCAGCCGCCGCTCACGCAGCTGCTGCTGCCGCTGCCGCTGCCGCCACCACAGCTGCTGGCGGCGGGTCCCATTCCTTGTTCAACCCTAGCCGATCCGCCTCTGCTCCGTTTTCCTCTGCTTCTGCTGCTGCGTACGATGGGGATAGTGATGGGGTGGTGCATAATGCAGTGGACTCGCTCTCTCTCCTCGAGATCCCCTGGGCAGAGCTGAGAAGAAGAGGCATATACGAGGAGGACTACCCGGCTTCGAGCCCCTCTCTTCCCACTGCAGATCAATCCCCAGCCACCAGCAGATCCCCGAGCAGCAACACTGGTGCTGCTGTCTCTGCCACTTCCGCTGGCGCTGGTAGTAGCAGCAATAGTGGTACCCCTGGTGCGTCTGCTGCCGCTGGTGCTGGTAGTGCTGCCAGTGCCAGAGCTCCTGCTAATGCTACTGCAGAGCTGGACTCGTTTGTCGATCTGTGCTTGGACGAGCTGGCTCCTGTTGAAAAGAACGCGCACCAGCAGCAGCAGCAGCAGCAGCAGCAGCAGAGGCAGGGGCAGCAAGGGAGGAGTGGTGGAAGCGAGGAGGCAAGCAGTGGCAGTGGCACAACGAGGGGCACAGGCACTGGTGGGAATAGCAGCAGCCCTAGTGCGAGCGATGGCATGACCACGGAGGGCTCTGAGGCGTTCATGCTGCTGAGCAACCGCAGCCCTGCCATCACTGAAAGGGAATTCCGCCCCTTCATTCGCCATGGTACACACGCACACCGCCGGCCCTGGAACCATCTCTTCCTTCGCTGTCTAGTCTCTCCCTTCCCGGATTAGTCCTTTTCCCTTCTATTCGATTTGATTCATGTCTCCTCTCTCTCCCTTTTACATCCGGTTCCTTCTCAGCCCCTCCGGCCCCTACCTCCCTCCCTCCCTCCCTCCCTCCCTCCCTCCCTCCCTCCCTCCCTCCCATCATCCCTCCGTTCCTTTTGCTTTGCCTTCTCTCACCCTATGTCAGTGCACGTTTGCCATGCTGTCACTTTCGTCTGTGCCACCTTCACATTCGTATGCCCATCTTCCCCTTTTTTTCTGCTCCTGTCCTCCTCCCCTCCCCTCCGTCCCTCCCCTCCCTTCCCCCCCTCTCCTCGCTCGGCGTATCCCCAGCAGACATCCCCATCCACATCCCGGCCTCCCCCGACTCTCTCGCGCACGCAGCCGCACTCCTAACAGCAGCACAGGAGCACGAGCACAGCCAGCTGCGCGCGCTGGGCTACGCAGCCCTGGACCGCCGCCTGCTGCTCTGCATCCTCACCACCATCGACTCGCCCCGTGACTGGCTCTCCTTCTCCCTCGCCTGCAAGCCCTGGCGCGCCGCGGCCTACTACGGCCTGCGCTCGCTCCGCCTGCACCGCGGCAGGCGAGTCAACACGCACGGGCTCATCCGGGCCCTCTCCCACTGCCCCAACCTCACCGCGCTTGACATCCCCGGGATGAGCCTCGACCAGCCAGTGAGCAACGACCTGCTCTGCACCATCGGGTACTCCTGCCCGGACCTGCGGCATTTGTCGATCGGGGGGGATCCGGAGCTGGGGTACTCGTTCCGAGAGTCGGGCCTGGCGCTGCTGTTCTCGGGGTGCACGAACCTGGTTGATTTGAGGCTGGAGGCGTTTCAGCACTTGCGGGTGAAGAGCAACGGCAGCAGCAGCAGCAGTGGCGGAGGCAGTGGCGGTGGTGGTGGTGGAGCTGGTGCTGGTGCTGGTGGTGAGGGAGGAGGTGGGGCAGATGCCACTGCTGATGCTGCCGATCAGTCTGCAACAACTCTGGCTCTCTCCTCCGTCCCCCTCTCAGTCACCACAGCGGCCGCCGTCGCAGCAGCAGCAGCAGCAGCAGCAGCAGCAGCCTCCTCCTCCGCTCTCTCCGCGGTCCTCTCTTCTGCCGCATCAGCCGCCGCCTCCCTCTCCTCCCACACCACGCCACCACTGCACCCCGACCCAAACACCCCCCCGTCCGACGGCATAACCTACCTCCCAGAGTCCCTGGGCGAGCTCACCCACCTGGAAACCCTCGTCCTCAGCTTCCACAACGGCCGCCACCACGTGCGCCTCCCGGACTCCATCGGCCGCCTCGCCGCGCTTCGCTCCCTCGAGCTCGCCTTCACCTACCCCGCCTGCGTCCCCCCCTCCCTCTGGTCCCTCACGTCGCTCCGAGTGCTGCGCCTCGTGGGCTGGAAGGGCCTGGCTCTCCTCCCCAACTGCCTGGGCGAGCTCGCCAGCCTCCAGATCCTGGACCTGCGCTGCTCCGAGCTGGTAGACCTCCCTCCTTCTGCCGGCCTCATCCCGTCTCTCCACGAGGTGGTATGGGAAACAAAACGCACGCGGGAGCTGGAAGCCTTCGGCTCGTCAGTGCCGCCGTCCATCGTGGACTTCCCCTCCATCCACCGCCTCACTCTCAAGAACGTCTGGACCGTCTCGGGCGACATCCAGCACCTCTCCGCCCTCACCCGCCTCGACATCTCGGGAGCGAAAGGCCACCTGCGCTCGCTCCCAGAAGCCATCGGCAACCTCCCGAACCTGGTCCATCTCGACGTGCGTGGGTCGTTCCGAGCCATCCCAACGTCCATCGGCCGCCTGCACCGTCTAGAGGTTCTCCGTCTACTCAGCGAGGTCCTCGAGGTGCTGCCGCAGGAGCTGGGCGACCTCACCAGCCTGCGCCAGTTGCGCCTGGACGGCTGCCGCTCCAACCCCCCGCTCCCAGACTCGCTCTGGCAGCTGCAGCAGCTGCGCGTGCTCTCCATGCCGTGTGACCGCGTCCCCGACGAGATCGGCGACCTGCAATCCCTCCACGCTCTTGAGATAGACTGCGACACGCCGCGCTCCTCCCCGCACCACGCACTCCCTGCACGCATCGGCTGGCTGAGGGAACTCAAGGAGCTGCGCCTGGTCTGCCCGTACCTCCGCTCGCTCCCTGCCTCCTTCGTCTCCCTCTCCTCGCTCCGCGAGCTCCAGCTGCAGTTTGCCGGCCCACTGCCCAAAGACTTCGGCCTCCTCACCTCGCTGCGCCGGCTCGTTCTCGACAGCCGGGAAGTGTACGCGCTGCCCGAGTCGTTCGGCGACCTGACCGGGCTGGAAACTCTGACCCTCGTAGGGGAGAAGCTATCCACCATTCCCGAGAGCTTTGGCAACCTCTTCTCCCTCCGCTCCCTCTCTTTGGTCAACTGCTCCGGTCTCACCAGCCTCCCTGCCTCCTTCGGCGACCTTTCCAGCCTCACGCGATTGGAGGCCTCCTGTCGGGATCTTGCGTGGCTGCCGGTGTCAATTGGGAACCTAGGAGCGCTGCAGGTGCTGGAGGTGCAGAGCAGGAGGCTGTCTCAGCTGCCGGAATCCTTCGGCAACCTCACCTCCCTGCACACTCTCAAGCTCCACTGCCCCATGCTACGTTCCCTGCCTGCTAGCTTTAGGAAGCTGCCCGAAATGGTCCGTGCTCATGCAGGGGTGAAGCTATTTGTGAGTAGTTCATTCTAGAAAAAACTGATGTCCTAGTGCCTTGCCCCCTCCCTCCGTCCCGTTCAACCATTTCAGTGATATGTCTTCCCTCTCCAGCACCACCAAATGCTGTAGCTTGTTTGTCACATCCACCTCGCCCTCCTCCACGTGCTCCTTCAATGTGCCATTGAACAGACCCTTCTAACCCCTTACTATGGGCCTAGGTCGCACACCAGAGTATGCTGTTGCTGTGTGTTTGGCCATCTTGTGGGACAGTGTCATTTGTGTCAAGCTATCTCAGGGGTATGCTACGGTATTAGGCATGTGTAAACCAGGGTTCTCTTTTGGAAAAAAGTGTCTGAAGGATCAGACTACTCTTCTGCACTTTGTCTGATTCACTTTTCCTGTTCAGAGAAATATTGAAAGCATGTCTGTTTTTGCAGAGAAACGCGAAAAATATGTCTGAAAATTCAGAGAATTTACCTATGTAATCTGATTGCTGCAGAGACGTTGTATTCCTCATCTACTGTATTCCTCATCATCTACCTCCTCTTCCGATCGCCACCGCAGCCCATGAGAGCAGCAGCAGGTGTATTGGCATGTCCCCCACCTTGCTCTGTCCCTGCGCTGCAGTGTACTTGGCAGCAAGCGCAGGTATGAAGTAGGAGAGTGGCGTGCTGGAGCCCATGACACGCTGCCAGAAAGTCAGCCGCCATCTTCATGCCCGTGCTGTGGAGGGGCAAGGGTGGGGTAATAAGCGGGCTGGTAGGGGTATGGGTAGGGGTAGGGGTAGGGGTAGGGGTGCAGGGTCTCAGATATCAGACGAAATCCGTCTGATGGTCTGAAAATCAGACCTGTTTTTTTGCTTTCATCTGATGTTTTGACAGGGTGAATTATTTCATCTGATTGTCCATCTCAGTCATAAGATTTCGTCTGAAAGTTCAGACTTGGTGTACTTTTTCGTCTGAAATGTCAGATAGCGCGTATAATTTCGTCTGACAGCAATCACCCCTTATCCCACTGTGCCAATGGGTCACCTGCCCAGTGGCCCACACTCTGCCATCTTGGTCCTGGTCGGTGGGCAGGTGCATTCATTTCCACGCGCACCGTGACGGCCAGCGCATAGTCACGAAATGAAATTGGCAGCAACCTGACTCAGGTTGCTGCCAATCGCTCGTCCGATAGTGCGTCACTTGCACGGCTGCCAGCTTCCTTGCATCTTGAAGCTGGCAGCAATGTGCCAGCGCACAGTGGTGCGGCCAGGAAAGCCACCCACCGCGAGCCAGCAAGGCAGAGCTGTTTCGTAGCCATGCAGCAACCTCGCTCGCCATGCTGCAGCTCAGCGAGGCGCCTGGTCGTAAAGGCACCAAGGGAAAAGCCTCGTAGCCACTTGTCCTGCTCCACCTCGTTCTTCCAGCCCCCTCAGCATGGCTCCAATCTTGCTCGGCGCACACCCTGCCTAGACGCCCTCTAGCTCTGTGGCTAGACAGCGATGGCGTCAGAGAGAGCGCAGTCGATCCCCTCCCTAGTTAGGCAGTCAATAGTAGGCTTGGAGCCCCCTGGCTCAACCCCTCCGCTTGTTAGTGGTCTAGATCTCCTCACTGGCGCGCTGAACCGAGCCGTCAGCGGCGATGCTCCGGTTGCAGCCATGGGTGAAGCACCTCCGTCGCCTCTCCCACCCTTAGACGACGAGCCGTGGGTTTTCTTTGACAAAGAAAACTCTACGTGTGATGCTCCAACGTCGCCTAACCCGTCGTCAACACCTGGCTGCTCAACCGTGCGAGCCGTCTCCCCTTCACGCGTGACGCGCGGTCCTGTCCTACCAGTTCGCGCTCCTGGCAAGAAGTATCGACAGCGCAAGCTTACGTTTGGCCGACCAGCGGTGGCTCAGTCTACACCCTCTGTCCAGGTGCAATCCCGGTCTTCCGAAGCATCTCCCGCCGACTCCGACGACGACGATGGTCCCTTTCCCCTCACAGTCGCCGAGCTCCAGTTTAAAGCCAAGGAGCAGTGGCAGTGGTATTTCCCATGGCTGCTGATTTCCGAGACCTCTGAGGGGCGTCCATGCATGAAGTGTAGCATCTGTATGGGGTACAACAATGACCCCAACTACCAGTATGGGCGCAACGGTGAGGGCGGCATCGACATACAGAAGCAGACGATGCGCAAGCACCACCACAGTCAAAAACACGAGGCGGCGATGGCACGGAAGGAGCAGAAGGATGGCAAGAATGCGAAACAGAAGTCCATCGTCGACTTCGAGAACGGGAACGATGAGGCAAAGCGACTCATGGCGATTGTGATGTTCCTCTGCAAATCTGACGCCCCTGTTGTGTTGTTTGTGTCACTTGTCCAGTTCATGGCAGAGCAGGGAACACCAGACCTACCCGTGAAGGATAACGGTACCTACCAGAGCGAGTAAGTGTTATACGTGATACCAACCCGATATACTCTTGATTTGTTACGTGCTTTCTAGAAGGCTGACACTGTACTATTATTCATGCGCAGGTACGGTTTCAATCAGGTGGTCGACAACATCGTCACTTACCTGCGAGCCAAGCAAATGACCCACATCAGGGCTTCACCATTCTTGGGCATCCAACTCGATGAGTCAACCGACCGCCGGCGGGGTAAACATATGATTGTTTACCTTACCTTCCTCCGCAACACGACGGTGGTGACAGAGTTCTTCGGGCATCTCACCGTTGAGAAGTGTGACGCCGCATCTCTGCAGGCCGTTCTACTCACCCACCTCGAGTCTCAGGGCGTCGAGCTCAACAAGATTTGCGGCATCAGCACCGATGGAGCCAGTGTGATGACGGGTGCGCAGGCAGGCCTCGTGGCTAGGCTACGCACCCGTATTCCACACCTGGTTTCCTGCCACTACATCGCGCATAGGTGATTCTAACATTCTATAACAATGCATATTTTAAAAGATTATTTCGAAACTAATAAAGTGTTTCTGTTAATCTGCAGGGAGGCTCTTGCTGCCAAGGAAACTGCAGATGATTTCCCGGACTTAGGCATCGTCGACAAGGTCGTGCGGTCACTGGCCGAGGTGCTCGGCCGGTCCATCGTCGTACACAACCATTTCAAGGAGCTGCAGGAAGTCGTCACTGAAACTAACCTCGAAATGCAAGGCATTCACCAGATACGTTGGCTTAGTCGCGGTGAGGCTATCCAACGGCTTGTTGATGTGTTTCCCGCGGCCATCCTCCTGCTGTACGAGTATGATAGGAAGATGTATCACGTAGTTGTCTCGTTGAAATTCCATTTCTTGCTGTACTTTCTGGCGGATATGCTGCGGGAGCTGAACACGCTCAACCTCAAGTTCCAGCGTCGCCAGGTAAGCCACATGGTGTCATGTCGTCGGTTTTAGGAGAGTGATGATTAACGAGCAAAACCATCTCCCCTTTCTGTCTTTGTATGGCAGGTCGACGTCACCCAGGTTCTTCGGATGGTCGACAACACTGTCGTTACACTGCGCGCACGCTACGTAAATTACAACACACAGTTCGGCCCACCTGACGGGGACTTCGCCGACTTTCTGCATCTGTACGCGGGGGGCGAGGACGTGACGATCGAGGGGATTGACGCACACGGGGCGCCGACTGTGCACACGTACACTCTACACACAAAGCCGCTGGATGGGCAGCGGAGCAACGGGGATCTGAAGTTGCTACAGCAGCTCGCCACGGACCCCTTCAACGGTGTCATCAACCACCTGCAGGGACGCCTCAAGGATCTATCGAAGCTCAACGGCAAAAGACTTTTCAAGCAGACGATGTACCCGAAGTCCACTGCGAGGCGCCAGCGGAAGTTTCTCGAATGGCTCCAGTCTCTGCGCGGCCTCTACAAGCGTGATGCGTCAGCGCCCGACACTCTGCCGGGTGAGTTCCAAGGGGTTGTAAGTGTCTCCATGGCTCGGGTGTTTTCTGGTTGAGATATTTAACGAAGGCTTCTGTGCCTCTATTTCACCCCCCCTTCAGGTGTCCACTGGGGCAAGGCGAAGGCCGAGCTCGTCAGTTTCACCACCATTATGTCGACACACAACGACGAGCTGGGCTTCCACGATGCGCTGAAGAACGTGCTCTCCACGCCGGACTGGATGACTGCCTACCCCAATTTGGTTCTCATCTGGATTGCCTGTGCCGTGCTGCCGCTCAGCACAGTGGAGTGTGAGCGCGGGTTCAGCCGCCAGAACGTCATCAAAAGCTGGCAGCGCAGCAATCTCGGTGATGCGAAGCTAGGCCACTTGATGACGGTGTCGCTGCTCGACTACCCGATGGACTGGGGGAGTATGGTGGCTAGCTGGCGTGGAACGAAGAAGCGGCGACCTGCCAAGGAAGTTGTCATGGATCAGACCGCACGGCAGGTGAAGCGGCCCAAGACGTCGGCGGCATTGAAGGCGGCAAAGGCAGCAGCAAAGGCAGCAGCAGAAGCAGCCAGAGTGTTTGAAGAGGATGGTGCGGCTGGCCCAATCTGGAGGAGGAAAAGCAAGGGCAAGAAGGTGCAAGTCTCAGAGAGCGACAGTGATGATGATGACATCGAGGAGGTCGGAAGTGATAGTTCAGACTCCGAGTAGGCAGATGATGGTATGGCACAGCATGGTTTAGTATAAGGCTAATTCCTAATGTAGGTTGTGGTAGTGGAGCATCAGTAGCACTAGAGTTTTTTCCAGCTATTCTTAGCATATACGGTAGATGCAATTTCAATGGATGCTAACGACGTGTAACAGTTGTTTGTGTAGCACTATAATGTAGCACATTCCGCATTGTTATATACTGAAACTCCCGCAACGTTTCGTCTGAATTGTCAGATCGTGCCAAATGTTTCGTCTGAAATGCCAGACCGGCAAAAAAAATTCGTATGATGGTCAGACGAAAGTTTGAAACCCCGTCTGAACGTTAGACGGCCTAAAATCCTAGCTGAAACCCTATAGGGGTGATGGTTTAGTGCATGCATGATTCGGCGACGGATCAGAGCAGAAGGCGCTGGCCTCGTATAGGCAGCGGCAGAGCGGCGTGAGGATTCGATAGCAGGGGTTCACACCGGCATAGAATGCAAGGTCTAAGCATTGCATGAACTGTCAAACATATATATATAGTTTAAGTTTGTATAGACTGTATAGGTTCGTATCTTAGAGGGTACAATACTTAGGCTTATACCCTTGTACTGTTTTCTCTCGACATTCAATCCTATGTTAAGATGGTATCACGCTTGGTAGGTAGGTCCCGCCACCCACACTTCCGCCCTAGGCCCTCTTCGCACCGCCCCTAGCTAGTCGCGCCCGTCCTAGCCGGCCCCCTGAGCCGTCGTGCCCGTCCTAGACGCCCCCCTGAGCCGTCGTGCCCGCTCTCAGCCGGCC